CCAGGCAGCGTCGCGCGTCACAGCCGCAGCGCAGCGGGTCGCACATGGATGATGCCCCCCCGCCGCGCGTCCCGGCCCGGGACAGCGGCGCGGGGGCTGCCGGGAGCGGAAGGTGGGGGGAACCGCGCTCCCCTTCCCCGCCCCCAGGGAGGAGGTGAGGGGGCACGCTGCGCCCGTGACGCCGCGCAGCAGCCATCTTGGCTGCTGGTGGAACGGCGCCAAACCAACCGCGACTTAGCCTGTGCCCGCACTAAATATGGCAGCGCTATACCCCCCCGCAACGGCCCGACGGTCGCCATAGTGACCCCGTGTCGCCCCGCCCGCGGGAAGGCGCCGCCCGGGCGCTGGGATCATGGCTCCGCTCGGCCCACGGCAGCTGGAGCGCGTCTACACCATGGTACGGGCCAGGAGACGGGTGGGCGAGGGGCCTGGGCCGGGCCCCAGGGCGCGGCCTGACGCGTGTGGTCCTCCCACAGGTGCTGGCGGCGCTGGTGCTGCTGTCCTGGGGCTTCGTCATCTACGCCACTCGCCGCGCCGCGCAGGGCCGCCTGCAGCGCGACTCCTCCCTGCCCTGAGCATGGACGGGCGCCGGGCCCGCGCCCAGCAGTGACCCGCGGCCAGGAGGGAGGGACAAACCTGCACTGATGCCACCGTGAGCAAGCGCTGCCCCGCGCCCTGTGGTAGGCAGGCGGCGCGCGAGGCGACTCGGCGGTGGCAGCTGTGTCCCAACCCTGTGCGAGGCAGCCCACCTGCGGTAGCTTTTCCCCGTTCAAACCAGCCATCGCTTCAGTTCTTCCCTGGGGGCCCAAGGCACCGTTAAATGCCGCCCCTTTGGGGGAATCAGGGTTGAAAGGCCAGGCCTGGACTCTGGCTGCGTCCAGAGCAACAGGAGAGCAGATCAGGTGCAGGGGTGGTTGAGGGATCCAAGATATGTGCTACTGAACAGTGAAGTACTCTGAAAACAGGATAGTTTCCTAACCGTTCATCAAAATTAAGGGGAAAAGTTAATGCAGTAGAATTGGGTTCAGTTGTTAAGTAAACTTGTCCCTCTTGTGTTCTTCAGTGCATTTCACCATTCGTATTCACAAAGCATTTCAGCTACTTTGTCACTGGTGTAAAGTACAAGCCATGAATTTCCCACAATCACCATACAGAGGTGCAGTGAAGTTTGCTCTCTATAAACCTTTGGCATATCAAACTGACCAGCACCTTGTGAACACATTGCAGATTTAAAGCAGTGCTCTTGTGAGGGAAGCAGCATAAGACATGTGACAAGCAGCAGCCAGGCCTAATTCTAGCTTGATGCCAAGCATTTGAATAGGGAAACAATGAGTGGTAAGGCATATCGAAGCACCACATTGAGCAGGAAAGCAGACGCCATACGAGAAATAGCTAAAGGTAAATCAAAAGCCCAAGTATGTAAAGAATTTGGTGTGCCACGTACCACTCTGAATGGCTGGCTGCAAAACCAGGAAAAGATTTTGGATGCCGTTGACCAAGCAATGTTTCGTCCAGATCGAAAGAGAATGCGTACAGCGTTAAATGGCGATGTAGAGGCTTGCCTGGTGCAGTGGTTACGACAAGCCTGTGCAAACAACGTTCCTATTAACGGGCCCTTGCTAGCCTGCAAGGCTGTTCAGTTTGCCAGTCAGCTGGGCATCTCCGATTTTAATTGCAACGAAGGATGGGTGGAAAGATTCAAGGCACGCCATGCTATTTCACTGAAGCGAGCCTGCAGCGAGGGCAAGACAGTCCCCATTGGGGGCATCCAATTGTGGAAAAACACAACCTTGCTTTCCATCCTTCGTGAATATGATGCTAAGAACATTTATAATGCTGATGAGACAGGCCTGTTTTACAAAATGCTACCAAATAAAACCCTGGCTTTTAGAGGCAAGAGGTGCATTGATGGTGAACATAGCAAACAGCGCCTAACCATACTGCTGATGGCAAATATGGATGGAAGTGATAAAAGGAAGCCATTGGTGATTGGTAAATCAAAGAACCCATGTTGTTTCAAAAATGTGAAGAGTCTCCCTGTGTATTACACTGCAAATAAGAAGGCTTGGATGGTTGATGCTGTCTTTGAAGAGTTTGTGCGAGATTTTGATGCAGAGATGCACGCTCAGAAAAGAAGAGTGGCACTGATTGTGGATAACTGTCCAGCTCATCCAGCAAGCATTAGCGGCTTGAAGTCTGTTCAGGTTGTCTTCTTACCTCCTAATACCACGTCACACAGCCAACCCATGGATAGTGGCGTGATTAAAACCTTCAAGGCTCACTATCGTCGTTTGCTGATGAGCAAGATCTTGTTAGCCATGGATGCTAAGGAGTGCTTTAAGCCAGATGTTTTGATGGCAGTTCAGCTCATAAAACAAGCCTGGAATTTGGTGCAGCAAAGCACAATTGCCAGCTGTTTTTGTCATGCCGGATTTGTCAAAGAGCATCACGTGCCACCAGAAGAAGCTACCTTTGAAGCACTCTACTCATCTAACATGAATGAATTGCGCTCACAGCTTCAGGGTTTAAGCATCTGGCCATCAACTCTCACAGCAGATGATTATATCAATTTTGATTCCTCGCTCTGTGTGGCAGAACAGTGCTCTGATGAGGATATTGTTGCAGCAGTGCAAAGCAAAAGAGATGAGGCAAGTGATGACAGTGAAGCGAGTGATGAAGAAATCCAGATGCCCTCTATACCACTTGTCAAGCCAGCTGATGCTCGCAAAGCACTGGATACTCTCCAGCTTTTCTTGGCTCAACAAGACATAGATGATCAACTATTCCACTTTGCAGAATTATCTTCTATTTTGGCAATGAGTGCATGTAAAAGCGCAAAGCAAAAGTCTTTGACTGATTTTACTCCACTGTAATCATTTATTACGTAGCAAACACGCTGAATTTCTGTAATAAGACATTTGTACATTAAGCATTTCTGTATCATCATTTTTTTCCTTCAGTATGTCTGAAGTTAGTCTTTTATTGTGTCACTATGGCATGCAAAATGCAGTAGGTAATGGTGACTAATTATCAGTAGTTACTGTTGCACTTGCTGTGATTGTCACTCATGGATAACTAGTCATTATTTTTAAGTCACTCCTGGAGTGATAAATTAAATGTTTGTCTGGTGCATGTGTTTTGCTGCCAATTCAAACTATTAAAACTACCATAATTGTGTCAGAGCTTTACCACATAGATCATTTAGCAGAAAAGCTGAAAAAAAACTTAGTATTTTTTAACTCATAAAACATAAATAGTTCAACTTTTTTGTTAGCCCGAGAAGAACTCTGAACAAAGATTCCTATTAAAGGTTTTTCATTATCTGACTTTACCAGTTTGTCCCTAAGCAGGTTCCTTAAATTACTATCTACTATATGCACTGGTGAGTTGAGAGAACAACAGCCTTTTCTATAATAAACATACCTAGAAAAAAATAAGATGACATGTTAATCTCATGGAAGTGGACTTTATTGTACAGTTCATCCACATATGTAACGCACTTGCATAAGGACAAAGCCAGTGCTTATTACATTCATTCTTTCAGTGATGACCACTAGTTTCATCTGCCAGTGGTGGCATTACTTCTCCTGTCTCTAGAATTGTGTCACCCTAATGAAATGAAAAAAAGATCATGATGAATATTTGTCAAGGGTCTGATCATGCATTTCTAACTTACATATACTAGAAGAAAAGTAAACATTATACTGGGTCAGTTCTAGACGGATTCTCTTCAAATAAATATGAATCCTTTGTCCACATTTTGAGTAACCATCAATAAGTAGTTTCTCATGACTTTACATGCAAACAGTATTGTGCATTTCCCTCCATATCTCACACTGACACTCTTCCCCTTTGCAGAGGAAAGTAGTTTTGTTATTAGTTTGAAGTCAGGCAGAAATAAGTAAATTGCACTTTATAGATGGACTAAATCAAAGATGCATAGCATACTCTTTCATAAGCTGCAGACTTACTTCACCAGATGCTACAATGGAGTATCTGATGAACTGATCCTGCTGCTTGTGAAAGTTTGTTATGCAGCTCTGATTTAGCTTGTCTATAAAGTGAAAATCTACCCTGCCATCCTTCCCTTTTGCTGTTCCAGCACGCTAATCTAACCACACATTAAAAAGGGCCTTTTTTTAGAAATGGAACTCATTCTAGGCCCTGGGACTACACAGTCCTGAGTAAGTCCTGCTTACACTTTGTTGATCTATTAGATTTCAATATATTCTCTAAGTGACCAAAAGCATTCTACAGCCCCAGGTGTGCTCCCATATCAGACGACAGCCTGTCAAGCTCTCTAACTGTCCCTTAGTGAAACATTTTCATAGCATTTTTTTCAGGTTTCATGGCTTTTGCACATTCCAAAGGGTGCTACAGAATCAGTACTCTATGATTCCATACTAAGCTCATCTGTATGCTAAAGAAGGGGTAACAGGAAGTGAAGTGGGAGCTTGTGCTTATAAAAAGAGTGAAACTGCTCCAGCTACTGTGACCTGTCTGCCTTGAATAGAACGGAGAAGCTTCATAATGTAAAGCTTTGTGGAGAAATCCAAGAAGCAGTCAACATGGTGCTCATAGAAACAGTCAGTGATAAGCAAGGATCCTGGTTTTCTGTTTAAAAATCATGAATTCTCTGATAAAAATGCACACTCTAATTGAAAAACCCTAAATCTGTGATTAAAATGAAATGCCCACCTGGCAGCAGCAAAGGGCACAACTCTGCACCGCTACTGCTACCACTGGGTAGGCAGGGAGACCTTGCCAGGGTGGCGTGCAGCTTGCAGCAGCAAGGAGTTCCCCAGCTCTGCTCTGCCCTGCTGCACCAGGTCCTACCCACTGGGCTGCAGAGGCTGGGGAGGGGGAGGCAGCAGCAGCAGGCAGCCCACCCCCACCACACACATAGATCTGGGGGGGCACGTGCAGCCAACTCCCTCTCACTGCCTATGGGGACCCTATTCTCCTTCCTTCCCTGCCAGACTTACCTGCAGGAGCTGCTCTCCAGGCTGCCATGTGCATGTGTGAGCATGTATATTCACACGGCTTCCCCTGCCTGACCATCCTTCTCCTGCTCCCCCCAGCCCTTTGCAGGCTGCAACTCTGCCAGCCTGCAGAGAGCTCTTTGCAAAAGTGGAAAAATCCATGTTTTTCCATTAAAATAAAAAATCTGTGTTTTTCTCAGTTAAGAGGGAAAATCCACATTTTTTTCCATCGAAAATGGAAAACCCGGATCCCTGGTGATAACAAATCAGCTGCTTACTCTGATTTCAAGTCCCAGTCACTGTAGCAGTAGTAAAGTAGGATTATACTGTCCATTCGGAGGGGAACATTAATGTTTCTAAGGCTCCTTTAGACAGCATATTACATTCCTTTGGTAATCTGCACACTTTATCAAAAGGAATCATTTTAATTTGATTTCCCAAACAACCATTATCCTCACATATTCACTCTGCTTCTGCCAATCATTTTCCACACTTTCCCTCTATTCCTTTATTTTATTTTGAAACCAACATATTACAAGAGAATAGTTTAAATGGACTCACTGGGAATATTCTGGGCTTTGACGAAACAATACCATATGGCTTCTTCTGTAATAAAAAAAAGGACAGAATGGTCAGAATAAAAGATTTTGCAGGATGATTTTGAAATATGGAAGACAAATACACATTTCTAAAATACAGGATTAAATACAATTTATGTTACGCAGCACTAGCTTCTCTCTAATAACTTCTTTACAGTTCTTCAGGACAAGAGTTACAAAAAATAAAAACACACTTCAGACAGGTAAGAATTTCAAAACTTTTAAGTGAGAACAAAAATAAACTCTTCTAGGAGAAAAATGTATACTTTGCTATCATTCCCTCCCTCTGTTTCCCCCACAGCAACAAGGCCTTACAAGAGAATTTACTTAGTCCTGGCTATCAATGTTATGGCTTCTTCAGAAAAGTAATAAGGTATGAGACCATGGGTTACAGGCCTGCTGCAAATATAAGTAAATCATGAACTCTCTCTGACTGATATTTATTAAGTTCAAGCTAACCTCACCTTAACAAATACTGTCAGATAATTAAATTGTTTTCTATTGTGCAGACACTCATGACTACATGCAGGTATTACTACCAGTGTGATAAAAAACTGGTTTTCCCCAGGATAAAATAAATCCCATCTAATGTATTTTCCCATTCTAGATGAGCCCTGTAAATTACTTACATATTTAAAAGTTTTCTGATGCTAAAAATATTACATTCTGATTTCAGTCTTCTAAAACTATTCTAGAAAATTACAAGGAAAGTAGCTTGTTTTGGGACTGTCACTACACCTAGGAGGCAGAAGTTACAATAAAAGGGAAGGAAAATAGTAGAATAATCAGACTCTGTGGAATCAGCAGTCATTGGACGGGGACAAAAGCAACTAGTTGGGAGCTTCATGTTCCAGAATTTTGCAACCATTGAAAATCAGGCAGTGCATCTGATAATGTGGCTATAAGCTGGACTAATTTAGTTTTCAGTCCCGAGGCCTAAATTCAAAAGGTGGTTGTTTTCATTTCAACTATAAAATGCATAAAATATCCTGTTATTAAAACATTACCCCCAAATTCTTTACTTACCATTAAGTTGTATTTGATACGGTAGTGAAGAATCCAGGAAGGTATAAGGAAAAAGCATAAGGCAATTACACTGCCACGGTACACTCTGAAAGCCTGGGAACAAAAATAAACAATAATCCACTTTACTTTAAAATCTTACCATACGTAACATCCAATGCTGATGTCATCCACCCAGACCAGCTCCGCCTTGACACTTCCATAGTTCTAACAGAATTTTAAACTCGGGGAAACCAGCCTCACATGCTTAGGAAGTAAAGTCTCACTAGACATCGTAGACAATCAGGGTTAGAAGAGACTTCAGGAGGCCATCTAGTGTTTTATGACCCTCCTGATGAGAAAGGTTTTGCTAATATCTAACCTAAACTTGCTTGCTGCAGCTTGATACCATTGCTCCTTGTTCTGTCATCTGTTACCACTGAGAACAGTCCAGCTTCATCCTCTTTGGAACCCCCCTTCAGAGATTTGAAAGCTGCTATTAAATCCCCACCTGTCTTCCCTTCTCCAGACTAAATAAGCCCAGTTCCCTCAACCTCTCCTCATAAGTCATGGTCCCCAAGCCTTAAACCATTTTTGATGCCCTCTGCTGGACTCTCTCCAATTTCTCCACATCCTGTCTGTAGTGGAGAGCCCAAAACTGGACACAATACTCCAGATGTGGCTTCATCAGTGCTGAATGAAAGGGAATAATCACTTCCCTCAACTTGCTAGCAACACTCCTAGTAATACAGCCCAGTATGCCATTAGCCATCTTTACAACAAGGGTGCACTCTTGGCTTAGTCAGCTTACTGTCCACTGTAACCCCCAGGTCCCTTTCTGCAGAGCTGCTTCTTTGCTAGTCAGTCCCCTGCCTGCAGATGTGCAACCATCCATCCACTTCAACCACAAATGGACAGAACCACTTCAGCAGATGAAGAGGCAGTTCTGTTTCCATCCCCCTGGGCAAGATGGGATGAGTGCAAATTGAATATAGTCTGTCTCTCCCTGCCCCCTTGCATCTCCCAATGTCACCTGACACCAACGTGGTTGAGAGAGGGTGGCAACACATCCCTGTCGTCTTCTGTGTTGGGGGAGGAGGGTTCAGTCCCATTTTTCCCTTTCCATTGCAGTCCCCACAGGCCTGGGATCCAGGCCACAGCCAAGGCATAGATGGGCTATCATCACCTTCCTTCCTGAGTGTAGATAGACAGACCCACACCACCCTCTTCATCCCATGTCTGGCACTGGGCCCTCCCCCGCCCTGTGACCTTGGTGGCTTGTGCAGAGGCAGGACAGAGGGCTGCTCCTGCTGCTGTCTTAACAGGGAGCATGGGGCTTGTGAGGAAAGGCTGAGGGAACTGGGCTTATTTAGTCTACCAAAGAGAAGAGTGAGAGGAGATTTGGTAGCAGCCTTCAACTACTTGAAGCAGGGTTCCAGAGAGAAGCAGTGGTCTCAAGTTGCAGCAAGAGAGGTCTGAGTTGTATATTAGGAAAAACTCTCTCACTAAGAGGGTGTGGTGAAGTGCTGGAACAGGTTACCCACAGAGATTGTGAAATCTCCATCCTTGCAGTTTTTTAAGCCCTGCTAGACAAGGCTTGGGCTGGGATGATCTAGCTGGAGCTGGTCCTCCTGCGAGCAAGGGGTTGGACTTGACCTCCTGAGGTCCTTTCCAATCCTCCTTTCCCATGTCTCCGTGGCCGGCCAGAGGACCCCGCGGGAGCCGGGGCGGCCCAGGGACGGCGGGAGCGGCACCCTGCGCCGGGGGGGACGCACCTGCTGCCGCCAGAAGCCGCCAGGCTGCAGGAAGCGCTGCCAGAAAGCGTCCACGGGCCCCAGCCACCGCGGCGGCAGCACTGGCTCGCGCGGGCTCAGCTCCTGGTCCTTAAGCCAGCGGCGCCGCAGGGCGCGGAGCTGCTGCAGCCGCAGCTTCTCGTCGGGGCTGTAGCCAGACATGGCGCCGCCGCCCCGCTCAATCGCCCCCCCAGAAGCACGACCTTGCTGAGTTCTAGGCACTGAAGGCAGGCGCGCCACAATGACGCCAACAGCACGCGCCCGCCAGCAGGAGCCGGAAGCGGGCTTTGGCTTTTGGCCACTGGCGTCCGGAGCCTGGGAGGTGGCGCAGGCGCAGAGCTGCGTAGCTGTCCCACAGGCTGACGTGAGAGCGCCCCCTGGCGCCCGGAAGGAGGAGGTGGTGGGGTGGCCTCCTCGCTCCCTCGTGTCCGCCTTTCCTACAGCGGCCCTTAATTGATGCCTTTAATAGTGGGCCTTTTAATTGAGGCCTTTCTGCATCCTTTAGTTGATGCCTTTAATACTGGGTTCCTCCTAGGAGTGGCAGGACCCCACGGTAGCGCCTTGGCCTTCCTAGTGCACGTAGCTTGGGCTCCTCTGCACTTACTGGCAAAGGAGCCAACGCAGGATCCATGCCCTTATGGCCTCTGACCACACCAGGCTGCATGACTGTAGGATCCTGCATCAGCTCTGATCATGCCTTGCTGCTGGAACAGGGGGCACTCAGGATCAGTCCCGTGGTCCCCCTGTGTGGGCGAGTAGGGGATGCTGCCCCGCACATGCAGTTGGGATTGCAAGTCCCCACAACTGACAGGACTCCTGCAGCACGGAGGCACAGCTGTGTGGTCTGTCAACTGTGGGACTGTGAACTCCCAGTCATGGAGAGTGTGGTAGGCACCCCATAGTTGGGAGGTGGCAGCCACTACTGCAGTCTTCCAGCTCTAGGGGTCCATGGAGCACCCCCTCTCCCCCAGCTGTGAGATCACAGCTGCTGTGGGGGTGCACAATGCACCCCAGGGCTGGGAAATCACAGCTGCACCCTGACGCTGCCAGGACCCAGAGGTCTGTACCTCCTGGGCACTGCAGGTGCCAAGAGACCTGTCAGCTGCTGGTCTCCCAGCCCGAGCTGGGCATGGTGCAGCTGGCAGGCCAAGCAGTTGACAGGGCTCCTATCCACTGTGGGGACCTTGCTACACGTGCAAATTAAAAGCTGGGTAGCAACCATCTATAAAATTAGCGCACATTTTTGAGGTCTAACTTGGTTGGATCCTTTTATGGTGTGATAGCTACTTTGTACATGTAGCTTGTCTCAGTTTAACTGCACAATTGCCCAATATGCTCTCTCCCAGTATTCTAGGGAGCTAGCATTATATTATTCACTTTAAGATTAAAGCAAAAACAAACAGAACTATTTGAATGCACACTAATTTGCTAGCTGTTAATTGCTGTAATGTATAGAGAAACATTTCTTAACC